GGCCTCCCAAAGTGCTGGGATTACAAGCTTGAGCCACCGCGCCCGGCAAATTCTTTAATTTTCAGGCTGTTTATTTCTTCTTCGGCCATTTTTGGTGAATTGTATTTTTCTGGGAATCTATTCATTTTATCTAATTTTTCATATTTATTGACAAAAAGTTATTATAACTCTTACCTGCTTAATATCTGTATCACATTTAGTTATGGTTTTCTTATTTCTCTTTTTTTTTTTGATTCTTGGTTACTCTTGCAAGTTAGGCTATTAGTCTTTCTAAATAACTAACTTTTGGCTTTGTTTATCTTCTCTACTGAATGTTTCTTTACTTCATTAATTTCTGCTCTTATTTCCATCTTTCTATTTTATTTGTGTTTATTGTTGTTTTTCTAATTTCTTACCTCTTTATTTTGAGCCTTATTTGTTTCCTAACATAAACAATACTGCTATGAATTTCCTCCTAAGCACCACTTGTATCTTACAGGTTTTGATACATAATATTCTCATTACCATTTATTTCTTCTAAGTATTTTCTGATTTCTACTGATTTCTCCTTTGATCCACAAGTTGTTGAAAAGTACATTAAAAAATTTCCAAACATACTTTTTTCCTTTATCTTTTTGTAACTTATTTCTAAGTTAATTGCATTTAGACACTTGTGAGGCTAACTTTTCGGCCTGGAAGGTTGTTAATTTTTGTAATATTCCATGTATACTTGAAAATAATGCTTATTCTCCAATTTTCTATTTCTATTAGGCCAGCCTACTAATTGTGCTGTTCAGGATGTTCTATATATGGCATGACTTTATTTGGCCTGTTTGAACTCTCTAGTACTGGGAAAGGTATTTTAATAAATCTATTATGATAATGAATTTTTCATTATCTCTTGAAGATCTGTCAAGTTTTGCTTTTATGTACTTCTAAATGCTGTGTTATTGAGGTGCTTTCTAGTTTAGAATTGTTATATCTTCCTGGTTAATTGATCCTTTTATTATTTTGTAATAATTTTATTTTGTAGTGATTAGTAATTCGTTCTGCTTAAAACTTATTTTGTCTGCTAGAAATATAGTTTAATTAGCTTTCTTGTGGTTAGAATTTACCTATATTATATATTTATGTTCTTTGAATTTTAGTCTTTCTGTGTTCTTATATTTTACATGTATCTTTTGTGATCACCATGTGGTCAGATTTAGTTTTTTTGTATTTATTTTTATTTTAATTTACATAAAACAACTTTTAGAGGCAAGGTCTCACATCACCCAGGCTGGAGTATAGTGGCACGATCTTGGCTCACCGTGGCCTCAACCTCCTAGGCTGAAGAGATCTTCCTGCCTCAGTCTCCTGAGTAGCTAGGACTACAAGCACACACCTCCATCCCCTGCTTATTTTTATTTATTTATTTATTTTGAGACAGCATCTCACTCTGTCGCCCAAGCTGGAGTGCAATGGCGCCATCTCGGCTCACTGCAACCTCCGCCTCCCGGGCTCAAGAGATTCTCCCGCCTTAGCCTCCTAAGTAGCCAGGACTACAGGCGTGTGCCACCATGCCTGGCTAATATTTTGGTGTTTTAGTAGAGACGAGGTTTCACCGTATTGCCCAGGATGGTTTCAAACTCCTGAGTTCAGGCAATCCACCTGCCTCAGCTTCCCACAGTACTGATATTACAGGTGTGAGCCATCATGCCTGGCTGCCTTGCTTATTTTTATTTTTTAATTTTTATAGAAGGGTCCAGGGTCTCACTATGTTGCCCAGTCTGGTCTCAAACTCCTGGCCTCAAGTGATCCTCCTACCTTGGCCTCCCAAAGTGATGGGATTATAGGTGTGAACCACTGCACTGGCCCCAGAGTTTGTTTTTTGTTTTTTAAAATTAATTAATTAATTAATGTTTTTGAGACAGAGTTTCACTTTTGTTGCCCATGCTGGAGTGCAATGGTGAGATCTCAGCTCACTGCAACCTCTGCCTCCCGGGTTCATGCAATTCTCCTGCCTCAGCCTCCCAAGTAGATTATATTACAGGCATGTGCCACCACCACGACTGGCTAATTTTTTTTTTTTTTTTTTTGAGATACGGTCTCACCTGTTACCCAGCCTGGAGTGCAGTGGCACAAATATGGCTCACTGCAGCCCTGAACTCCTCAGCTCAAGTGATCCTCCCACCTCAGCCTCCTGAGTAGCTGGGAGAACAGGTACATGCTACTTTTTAAAAATTTTTGTAGATTTGGGGTCTCACTATGTTGCCCAGGCTGGTCACAACCACCTGGGCTCAAGCAATCCTCCTGCTTTGGCCTCTAAAAGTGCTGGGATTGCAGGTGCCAGCCACCATGCCTGGCAAGGGTTTTTTTTGTTTTTGTTTTTGGAACAGTTTAACTCTATCATCAGGCTGGAGTGCAGTGGAGCCATCTCGGCTCACAGCAACCTCCAACTCCCTGGTTCAAGTGATTGTCCTGCCTCAGCCTCCTGAGTAGTTGGGATTACAGGCATGCACCACTGTGCCCAGCTAATTTTTGTATTTTTAGTAGAGACAGGGTTTGACCATGTTGGCCAGGATGGTCTCAATCTCCTGACCTCATGATCTGCCCGCTCTGGCCTCCCAAAGTGCTGGGATTACAGGCATGAGCCACCACGCTTGGCCGGTTTTTTGTTTTTAAATGCAATTTGACAATCCATCCTTTAGCTAGAAAATTTAGTACATTTACATTTAGAGTAATTACTAATACATTTGATTTTGTTTTATTTGGTTTTTATTTCCTATTTTTCTGTTTCTCTTTTCTCCTTTTCTTACCTTGTTTTAGATGGATTAAGCTATTCTTTTCCTTTCTTTTTCTTTTCCACTTTCATCTCCCTACTTGCTTGGGATATGAGAAAAAGGGAGGTCAAAGATGACTCCAGTGTTTTGGGCCTCAGCAACAGGAAGAATGAAATTGTCATTGACTTGAGTTCATATTTGGATGTTATGATACCTTTATTTATTTATTTGTATTTTTAGTAGAGATGGGGTTTCACCATGTTGGCCAGGCTGGTCTCAAATTCCTGACCTCAAGCAATCCGCCAGCCTCGGCCTCCCAAAGTGTTGGGATTACAGGCATGAGCCACTGCGCCTGTCCATATGTTGCCTTTTAGACAATCAAGCAAAGATGTCAAATAGACTGCTGGACATGCAAATCTGAAGTACAGGAGGAAATCTGAGTGAGAGATAAAATTTATAATTTTATTAGAATACAATTATATTGAAAACACAGACTATATAAGATTGCCAAGGAAGTATAATCAGAGAAGAGATCCAAGGACCAAGTCTTAGAACACTTCACTGTTAAAAGGTTAGGAGGTAGAGGAGCAACCAGTAAACGAGAAGATTGAGGAGTGGCCAGTGACATGGAATCAAAACCAGAAGTTAAGAAAACGTTTCAAGGAAAGTTGTTTTTGGTTAGTTTGTCTTGGAGTCATTCTAACTCTTTACTTTTGTGTCATCTCATGATGAATCTTAAGTTAAAAATTATATTTAACTTTATAATTATAATTAATTATAATTATAATTAATTTAAAATTATAATTATATTTAGTTGGTTTTTGGGAAGATTGTTCAGAAATTATAATCCATACAATGTCAGAAATGGAAATCATGCCAACCATTTTTTAAATGTTACAAAGAAAAACCCTGGCTGAGCACAGTGCCTCATTCCTATAATCCCAGCATTTTGGGTAGCTGAGGAGGGAGGATCACTTGAGCCCTCAGGAGTTCAAGACCAGCCTGAGAAACATAGTGAGACCCTGTCTCTACAAAAAAAAACATAAAAAATTAGCTGGACATGGTAGCACATCCTGTAGTCCCAACTACTCAGAGCAGGGGTAAGCATGGGGTAAGGGATGCACTAAGGTGGGAGGATAACTTGAGCCCAGGAGTTTGAAGCTATAGTGAGCTGTGATTGCACCACTGCACTCCAGAC